ACACACACACACACACACCTATTGCCCAGAGCTAACCGTTTCCAAACAAAACATAATTAGATTAGACTGAAACCCAGTTTCCTTGGCAACATATGATCTCGGATTTTACATTATTTTGTAGTGTTGTCAAAAAAAAAAAATCTAATAAAAGCCAATGAGACTCAATGCAGACATTTTTTTTTCCATCCCACATGATTCTATTTATTTTATGATTAAAGTTATTTTCTTTATAACTTACTACTACGCCCTTCAGTGTACTTGCCATGTTATATCCTTCTCCAGCAGTAAACTGGTTCAACATGGACTACATCAATATAGTAAGCATGAGGCTCTCAAGATGTAATTTCCTATTGACTGTCCACAGGAGGAACAGAGGAGAGCAGAGACCATAAAGGAGAAAAATACAGAAAATCTACAGATGATGAGACCAAAACCAGACAAGACACAAACGGGTAACAGCCTCACCAGTTGGCAGCTGGTCATACTGGAAACCAGTTGGGCTCCCTGGCAGCACAGGATGAATCCAGCCAGATTAAGGAGCACACACACCACAGACAGCAGGACAAACACATTGACCTGGAGATGGAGGGATGGGGGGATGGGGGGGATGAAAGAAGGAAGGGAAGATGGATTATTGTGGTTTAAACACTTGTGTCTAACCCTGTGGACATATTCTGTAAAAATATTTAACAAATGTGATGTAATCAAATGGCGAGAGACAAAACGGTTACAGTAAGCTGAAATGTAGCACGCTTCAAACAGACAGAGATGAGATGAGAGACATTAGAGTCCATCTGAGATCACAAGTTAAAAAGTTGTTCTTCTGACTTTGGTGTGTTCATGAACTGTATTTTATTTGTCAAAGTGTTTAAACAGTGAAGATTCATGTTGCTATCCAAGTATATAGAGACAAATAATCAGTGAAAAAAAGTTCCTCAGGTTCCTCCTAGTGCTTCTAATGACATCTGCAAGAATCCACTGAAAGAAAACAACCAATCACAACCGAAAAAGACACCCACCACTTTGGACTGGTGGCTTGAGTATAACTGATTGCTGAGTCTCATTCCCTAGTGTTAGTATTTTACGGCCTGAGACTCAACAACCAAGTATCCCAGTGGTGGGTGTCTTTCCTGGCTCTGATTGGTTGTTTTTGTTCAACTATCTGTCTCATGTACTACTGTACCACAATTACATGTGAGCAAAACATTTAAATGCAATACGCAAACTAATACAACATTTATTATCAACAATTTCTGTCCAAAAATGTTTTAGCAAAAACAAGCTCATGAAAGCTCAGAAAATCTAGCATGTGTCCTTTTGTTACTTAAAATAATCTGTTCATTAATCTATAACAAATGAATGAATTTGTCCACAGTGGAACAGAAAATATATTATGAACTATATAAATGGAGGATAAACACCACAATCTGAAACACAAGACATCATTTAGCCATACATTACTCACACACAAAAACATTAATACACAATATCTTGATACTCTTGGAATCCAAAGTATTTACACCTTTTACACATCCAGTTTAACCTCGATTTTTGGGGGATACAATGGGTGAAAAGGGTTAGGATTTTGAAATGATTGGAAGGATGGAGCTCCCCTTTGTGGAAATTCAAAGATAAATCTGGAAACTAATACAAGACTGTACTTCAGCGAGCTACACAGCTTTTTCATGTCACTCATGAGGATATTCACAAATATGCGAGAATATACATAGCCCTGTGTATAAATAATCTTGAGTATCTCAATTGATTTTTGTGTTTAAACCACCAACTTAGTTTTCTAAACAAACTGAAGGCTATGTTGATGGATACTACAGGGACTGGGATAAAAAAAAAAAGGAAACTCAGATTTTATGCAAATGAAGCTGTGTTCTTATGACAGTTTTTTAAATTGCAAACCTCACCTTGCTTATAGTACCATATCTTATTGCTAATACACAGCCCTACTGCATACATTATGTGTCACAGATTATCAGACTTTCAGTCTTTCTAGCTATGATTAAGTTCATCCCGTGTGTCAGTTTGTATATGGGAGTGGATTTGGGCTACACGTGCGAGCCTGAGAACCCTTGTTTTGGTTGTATCAAGTCCAAAATATGACTGGTAGATGAAACCATTAGGTTCCACTTCTGATAGTTCTGGATTCCTGGTAGGTCAGTCTGTTTATTTTGTGCTGCTGCTGTTTCACCCAACTCACTAATTAAATCTATACTATACTGAGGCTCATGGTTGTGTAACAGTGATTACTTTAGGTCTGATAGTCAAGAAAGTTTTTAATAGAATCTGCAGATAATCATTTCCCATGACCCATTGAGCTCACAGGCCATGGTGAGTAAGCTAACTTATATTTCCTCTTTACTAGGGAAAAGGAAATAAACTTCGGCTCACTGCTGATATTCTGGGAGCAACATAAAAGAAACTCCCATTCCAATATCCTACAACACTGCTGAGACAGTGTGGGACTCCATGTAATCAATGACCTAATCAATCTCTCACACATCCAGCTTTGGCATCATACACAACCATTGGCCAGCAAACACTGTCTGGTGTCTGGTAGCAGCGAGCTCTCTGTGCTCTAAATCTTTCATTACATCCTGGCTTAAAAAGGAAACTCCAGAGGACCCACACAACGCAGTCCATATTAGATTTCTTTAGCACTGTCAATACAATTCACTCATTCCTTCAAGACTTTTGCTCAAAGAACTGTCTACATGATGGAATCATTTTTAAAAAACAACAAAGAAAGAACACTTTACTCAGCTTTCACAAAATACTTTCACAAAAATCCCCAGCACCTTTCTGACAGCTGAATTGGGGGACTGTGTTTGACGATTTCTGTAACTTTACTAAAACCGCCAAACAGACGAGCCCGCCCAATTTACGTTGTGATTGGCCATGTCTGCGGAGCCGAGAAAATACACATTGCAGCTGAGTGCAACATGAATGCCTTTGAGTCTGAAACTGTGGATTGTTATCCTAATTTGTACGATTGTCACATCCAGTCCCTCTCTGTAACAACGATACATTGAAGTGTGGCTGTTTGGAACAGCTAAAAACAAATTTTCCTTTTTGATAATATTATGATACCATACTAGCCATTCGATGTATTTATACTCGGTAATTATCTCCCTATAAAGTAGTTTTTATTATAAATGGCAGGGTCCGCCACTACCACACTTAAATTGCCTTCACACACACACGAGGTATTGACAAGAAGCAATGCAGACTGTAATCCATAGTTATTGTTTGTAATTTCATCTGGTTGATATCAGCCTCACTGTTTACTGTTCACTCTCCTACAGCTGTTACTGCTAATGCTAACAGTAATTACTTACTGCTGCTGCTTCACAATAAAAGACTGGTAACTGGTAAACAATGGGTTGGCTTTTATTGTAAAACCCTTGCGGGAAGTATTTGTCACTATGGACAGTGGTACTCAAAAATTGGAAATTTCCTGCATTTCTGTACAGCAGACCAGTTTTACATATTGCGGGGAGTAATGGAAGAGTAAGAAGCAGCCACAGTGAGCTGTTAGATGAGGACACGTCTAACTCTTCAGAAACATAAAATTCCTTTTCCTGTGTTTGTTTGGATGAACTGGAGACAGATATACCCGCTGCTCTAATGCTGGATTTCTGACAATGTGGTGTAGTACCAAATAGGGTTGAGCAGTATGTTCAAATTTTCGGCCAAGGATATATTCGCTCAGGTGTTCACTGAACGAGTCTGTTGTTGAGCAGCAGCTTTCACTCATTGTCCAGAGACAGACCGAAAATCGACAGAAAAAACACAATCGGCAATGTAGTCATCCAATCGCCCAACCCTTGTATCAAACCCCACTTGCTGCTGTGATTTCATTCTTGATTGAACAAGTTCATGTTTAATGAATTATACAAAAATTATTTATTTTAATTTTCTTTTACAATTTCATGGCAAAAAAGAACAACTAAATACATCCCAACATGTATTGCAATTTTTTAGAAAAGCTGCCAGTGAAATCAACCATTTTAGGCCACAAGAATCCCCCCCAAAAATACTGTATTCTGCTCCTAGCTTGGTTGAATCTGGTGTCTTGTTATCCAGTGTGGGCTGGGTGTAATGTTATGCAAGACACAATAATAAAGTTTAACTCACTAATTCTTGGGATGTCACGAGAAAAAACTTCAGTACCAAGTAGAGGCCAACATTATGAAAACATTATGGGGCCCCTTTTTCTACAGTACTGTACTCATGAAATCTTTGGTATAATGACATGCCTAATTCATTCTGCCTAAAGGAGTGCTGATCAGTGGTCTCCCACTCTAAATAATCCAGTTTTGTTCCTTTTAGTATTGGATTATAATTTAACAGCAACACAACATTGTAATCAATCACTGTTTTGTAGAAGGAACCAAAGCCATGTCCCTTACCAGCAGCAGCATGGGTCTTCTCCATGTTGTGAGGCCAACGATCCCTGACAGAATGACCTGGTAACACAAGCAGAAAAATAATGTAAAAAAAGACAACACAGAACTTTACAGATACACATGCACATATCTAACAAAATGATAGCATTATTACAGTTCACCCATTTAATGGTTTTTATTATTTTAAAAACAAGGGGTCTAGCTCACATTTAAACACTCATTCGTGTCTTTAGTTTTGTAGTTTTTGGAAAAGTGCTTGAATTGGACCAGAACTCATTGTTCCAGTAATGGCCTTTTTGTGCATCTTTACCTTAGTGCTGCATATGAACACTTTGTAATAAATGGTTATGATAGGTTATATGTTATAAAAACATCATATTGCAATTTTTTGACATATTATTCATGATTAGTGGGAATGATAATTTTTGCATCACAAATTTAATTTTAACTGAGAAAACAGCTAAAATCAACATGATGTGAACATTTTCTGGGTCTGCAACAAACAAACACATTGTATTAAATGGGGAGAAGTCAGGACATCTCTCTGCACTACAGTATTTTATTATGATGTTGTTTTGACACACATTTTACATTTTAAATTCAGCTTCTGCGATTTGGATATTGCACTTGACCATATTGCGATTTCGATTTAATGTGCATGTCGAGTTTGAATTGGACAGCTTGAGATGCCAAAGTGTTATCCAAACCAAGTGGGTATTTTTACATTACACTGATTTGGCACTTTGGTCCAATGTGACTTACAAAACACAAAGGAGTAAGAGCTACATATCATCCAAACGTGGGAGTGTAGCTCGATTTTCTTTTTTTTTTTTAGAGACATATGCAACAAGGAGGGTTTAAATGCAGTCTGAGAAGGTTTTTTTTTATCCTGCTGTAGAAAATGGGCAAACAGAGGAGTCTGAGTGAGACGAGCAACCACAGGGTCCTCTAGAACCAGAGTTCTGAACTGAATGCAAGCAGCTTCGGGTAAGTGGAGAGAAGTAGTGTGGGAAAACTAGGGTATTTTGAATATCCTGTGGGAAGGTTGAATATCCAGGCAGGAGATGACAAATGTATCAAACATCTCCTGGTAAGCAAAGGGCGAATCCTCCTGATGTTGTAAGAGGAATCGACAGGGTCAGCCAGACAAGCAGCAACGTGTGCCAACACTTAAGTGTCAGATGGGGGAAGTGACAAGAATAGCTGGGTGTCACTGGCAGAGCAGGGTAGGAGAAGGCATCCAAGTGTATGACAGCATGAATCATGCTTGTGAGGGGGAAGCAGAGGGCCCAGCAAGGAGCCCTTTGGAACTCCTGTAGTCAGACACGATCCGATTCGTCAGGTAGAATGCAAACAGAGAGAGTGCAGAGACACCCTGGCCTTTAAGGGTGGAGAGGAGGATCTAGTGGTTCACTGTGTCAAATGAGGACAGAGGAGAGGGAGTTCACTCTAGTAACATGGAATGCTTCTGTCACCACCAGATTGGTGGGGGTCTAGGAGGTTGTTTTGTGAGAAGTAAGCAGAGAGTTGATTAATAACGGCACGTACTAGTGTCTTCGAAAGAAAGGGATACAGGTCTGTAGTTTTTGACGTCTGAGGAGTCCAATGTTGGTTCTAGAAAGGGGTGACTGGTAGATTTTAAGGAGTAGAAAAATGCCCCATTATCTTAAGAATAAAATATTCACCTTGCTGTTTCCTTGCTGAGCTGCAGTGACAGGATACCTTTACAATGAATAATAAAAATCAACAGAAGACAATCTGACTTCTAAATGGTAAACTAAACATTACAAATGTTTTTTTTTTTATGTTTTACACTTTCAAAATTAAAAAAAGGAAAAGGTTTGGGGACCCTGTGAGTTGGTACTCTGTGACTCCTCCTCAGGGAACTATAACTGCTTACAAACACTTGCTGTAGCCGGCTAAGAGTCTTTCAATTCTTGCTTTAGGAATTTTTCCACATTCTTCATGACAGAACACCTCTAGCTCAGAAATATTCTTCAGCCTCCACAGATTTTCAATAATACTCAAGTCTGGGAACTGTGGTGGCCATTCTAAAACCTTCATCCGTCTTTCCTGGAGGTACTTCATGGTAGATTTTGAGGTATTGTTTGGATCGCTTCCTAGCTTAATTACCAAACCACTCTTCAACTTGTGCACTGACCTTCGAACATTAGCCACTAGAATTTCTTGATATTTGAAATCCATTTTCCTTTCTGTGCCCCCAGCAGCCACACAACCATTTCTCACCAGGTTACGGGCCATTCTATTTGACATTTGTCTTGGTCTCCTCTTATCTTCTCTGATAATGTGTCTGACGGTGGAAATAGCTCATTTGAAACATTGAGAGAGTTTTTTGTAGCCTTCTCGTTGGTGGTGGAAGTGAACTATATTGATTCTGACATCTTTGGACAACTGGTTAGAGGAACCCATGGTCGTTAACAGCAGCCACCGCAGCCGGATACTTTAGAAGGCATAGAGTTACTTCAGAATAAATAGTTCAGGAATGATATTCACCTGACTTATTAAAGCCCTAACAAGTAAACCACCATAGTAATCACTGTCATTAAAAGTAACATTATAATCCAAAGGGTGCCCAAATTTTTTGCACGTGTTTTTTATTTTTTTTATTTAACTGTTTTAACAAAAAAAAAAAGGAAATAAAAAGTAATCTTGCCTTAAAATTTGAAGAACTTTGTACCATTTAGAGGTCAGTTAAGCTTCTGTTCACTATTCATTGTAAAGGGCATTTTGATTAGGGGTGCCCACAACACTGTACATATAACTTCCAGGATGAAAATATCCACTTAATATGGCTATCCAAGATAAGATTCAACAAAAAGAACAAACTGATATAGTGCCAGTGAAAATTAGTTAATTCATTGTTTAGTTGATAAATGGAAACACAACACCAACATGTTCACCGTTAAATCTTTTTAAATGATGTGAAAGATGAATCTCTTTCTTTTGGACTTTGGACAAAACAAGCAATGTGAAGACATCCCCTTGCCTAGCCTCTGGGTGTATTTTCCATTTTCTAACACGATAAATGAATTAATGTTAGGTTAATAATTGAAAAAATAATATTCAGTTTCCTCTATGTTTGTGAATACTACTGACATATTTCACAGTCATTTGATTGTTTATTAAAAAAAAAAAAAACTTAGATTATCACAAGTTATCAGCCTTCAAAAACACATATGGCTCGACCCACAGTTTCTACGCTCCCAAGTGATTATCTCGACCCCAGTAGCCTTTTCTTACGATAGTACATAAAACATATATTTAGCCTCCACTACAACAAATGAACAGTGTGGCAGGTATGAAATGCTACAGTCCACCAACTGCCAATCACTGTCATACTGTTACATCACAACGCACTGTCCTGTATAACGCATGGTTGGAAACACAGGAATGCTTCAGCAGGGACTGGAGAGCTGGAGTGGACGGTGATAGGCTTTATGCTTTAATAGCTTTGAATTGATGGAGATATGTAATACAAGCAGAGTGGGGATTCTCTGCAGGAGATAAGGGAATTTAATCTTCTCCAAAGGCGGGAGCAGCAGTGGAATGAGATGTTGTGTCAGAGGAAGACTGCAGTACACAGCCAACACTCACTTCAAACAAGAATTCTTATTTACCATGGATGTGATTTAATGCCTTATTATTCATCTAGTACAGAAACAGAAAATGTTTTGAACTGTTAAGGATGTTCAGCCAGATAAATGCAGGGAAATTAGCTCTGTCTGCGGTATTACCGGGGTGTCCAGGATGTGTTTAGCCTAGCTTTGCACATAGACTGGAAGCCAGGGGAAAATGTTAGTCTAGCTCCATCAAATGTGAAATCGTGTACATTTGTCTTGGATTTCGAGCTTGCCTAACGTGTAAAAACAAAAATGGGAAAAAAGCAATACTGATTTTATGAGGCGTTAGCAATGGTAAAGGAAAACCATCACTCTAAAGGGTCTTGTACACTCGCCGTTCCCGATCCTGTAGCCGCGACACGTGACGTCACGGAGCGCCGCAACTATTTTTTTCTTTTTTTTTTTACTTGCGTGTGGTGGTCGCGACATCTAGTTGCAGTCTTCTTCCTTAAACAGAAGGTGTCGCAATCTGAGGAAAGGCTACCGGCTATTTCTAACGCACTAGAAGATAGAAGAAAAAAGGATAAACAAATACGACCTACTTTTTTGATTTTCCGGTCGCGAGGTTTTCCCAAATTTTCCAGCAAAGGCCTCTCTCATATATCCAACATTCATGGAGATTTCTCGCCGTGAATTTTCTTTGGCCAACTCGTGTTCCTTCATTGAGACAGATGCCTGTAGAGGCGCACTTGCTCGGAAAGCTTGCCCTCGAACTTGTCCATCTTCCTGTTTCCACTTTGGCGCGCTCACATCTTCACAGGGTGACACACAGCATTTGTGTCCAGAGTCAGTCGAGACAAGTCCAAGTCAAGTACCAAGTCTTCATAAGTCATTTGCAAGTCAATGTGCAAGTCTCTGAATGATGACACAACATTTGCATTTGAAGAAGTCATGTCTCAAGTCTCATTAAAGAAAATCTCAAGTCAGTCGAGACAAGTCCAAGCCTAGTATTGTCAAAGTCTCAAGTCACAAGTCTTTATTAGCAACTCTAACCTCTAAATGAAACGACATTCCTTTCAAAGTTATGTTAATGTTTATCTTTTCTGAAATAAGTGAGACCAAGTCCCTCAAAAGCATTGGTCTGGGAATTAAAAACAGACGATGTGAACAAGCTGACAGTTCAAATCATCTGTGTCACTTTATCTGGCAGTCAAACTGAAAGTGAGCCCACCCAAAGTGAATAATCCATTATGCCTCAAAAAAACTGTGCACACTGTAAAAACAGTGGCTCAAAGAGGGGGACAGTCTGTAAACTGTGATTGACACTGGGTAATATGTTATTTACCATTCACCTTTGATTTCTCTGGAAAGCAGACTGATATTCCAGCTGCTGGTGTTCCATGCCCCCTTGGACTCTTGGCAGTGATCCAAATTCTCATCAGCTACTTTAGTGAGTACCAAACATACAGAAGCAATAAAAACCCAGGTTGTAATACACTATCGTGTTCTGCAGGTTCCATTAAAAAGCAGAGCACAGTCTTTGATGGGATTCTTGTTATTTGCTTACTCTACAGTGCCATACTATCAAACTACCACAGTAGTTCTCACAATAACGAGCAAGGAAGCACATAGAGCACTGACAGTCTAATGTCATACTGCATGACAGACAGACAGCACTAATGGCAGCCAGTCAAAGGACCTCCAGCTCACATGCTTGTGAGATACAGCAGGTTTCTGTCGTCATTTCCGTTATTTAAAGAAGGTAAACAGCGATATAAAACACCTCAGGGGCTGATTCCCATCCTGTACTGTTTACAGCCTACTCCTTTCTGAACTCTTGGAAAGGGTATTCTGAGATCATGTTAACTGTCATAAAACATGCAGTGCCATGCACACTGATGATATCGAAGCCCCGTGGCTAAACTTACCGAGGAGCCAGCCCAGAAGGGACAGGAGTTTCGGATGGGGGGCGAGTTGCTGAGGGACAGAGCTCCGAAGGACAGCGCCACCATGGAGCCGCCGAGCAGCAGCTGCAACAAGCCCAGCGAGAGCAGCGGCCGCCCGGGCAGCAGCAGCCGAGAGCCACCGCCGGCGATCCGGGAAGAGGCGGACAAGCCACGGGGTCGGTTTCGGAAAGGCGGCTCTGTGAGCTGCGAAGCCCCGGCGACCGGACAGCAAGACCCCGGCAGCACCACCGGGAGCGACATCTCGACAGAATGCAGGGGAAATCTCGGAGCTCGACTTTGTGTCGTTTTCACGGACTCAAGGGTGGATCCTCGCCGAGCTGCGTGGAGCTGCTCGGTGCCCCTGCCATGATGGTGTGCAGTTTTAAATAACACGCTGAACGGCAGCCTGGATTGACTTTCACATATTTTGGCAGCGGGTTGAGAAAAGTGAGGACGGGGGAGGGGCAGAGCGGGCCATGTGTAGTGTGCATGTAAACAGGACAGAGCCACCAGCCGGGAATAAAGCGCACTCTGGAGGCGTTACACTGTCACACACGTGGGTTCAATAGTGTCATTAGTTCGTCCACGCGAGGCGGAGTGATCCCCGGGCCCGTGTGCAACCCCCCCATCACTACAGCCAATGTCTGCGGTCATACATTATCCCCAAACACATCTGGAAAGCTCTCTCATTAGCAAAGATTCATTACACTTCATGGATCTCAATATAACGCATTCATCTGCTCAAATAATTGTACATTTCTATTAATATTGTGTTCCAGCTGCTTGAATCTTTGTTATAGTGTTATTTTATTCATAAAGGGGAGGCAATCTCATAAACCATTTTTGACCTCTCTCTCTATATATAGCCTTTATAGATCATGTGACCACAGCGTAAACACTTACTGGTCTCAAACTGGCTGACAAACTTCTTGAAACAGGATTTCCTGAACTCAAATAAGACACCAGAAGATAGCTGTCATTTGACTGCTCTGTTTTCTCTATCTTTGATATTGACACCCGTGTACACCAGTGTGATCACAAAAGTATGGCGACCATTTTACATATGCTTTTATTTATATTTTTTTATTTGTAGTGATTTTTGTTTATTTCTGACATGTAAGGCGCCGAACCTTGTGGGACTTCCCCTTGGTAGTACCCACCATATTGCTTCAAAGAGTTGAATTCAAGATACAGGACCCTGTTTCTGTTTGTTATAAAGCTGTTCAATTACCTGGCCAATTACAGGAGGATCAAATATTTCATTTGAATGAATTCATTAACCCAGTCTAATTAAAACACACTAATAATGGTGCTGTTGTACAGAGATGATTGACAGGGTCATTCTACAATCAGTGTATCCTGGCACACTGCATGGCCAGGCAAATACATGGAAGTGCACATACTGAACATTGCTTTGTATTATGTAGATATTGTAGAAAGAGGAGAAATGTGATAACTTTACAAAATTTGGAAAATTCTGCCTGACAGGAGGATAAAGTGTGCAGTGCCTTGGACTTCCTGACCTGTAGCCTGTAACCTCTCACTGATACCTGCAGCAGCACAGCCCTACCAACACAGGACCTTTTGATGACACAGTTGCTTGTTCTAAAAAAAGCCTGAAGGAAGAGAGAGAAAAGGTTTTACAGAGTAAATGAGTTTCATGATCTGCCACCTCTGTGGTTAAGCTTTGGCTCGGTTTAGACACATTCTTATGTATCACTTATGTATTTGAGGTGTTTGGGCTGAAGGGAGCTGTTCATACGAATCTCTTCATTTTCATATTTTACTTATTGGCTTTCTTGGCTCAGGAGCCATCATGTGACTTGGAAGGTGGTGAGGTTTTGGATAACTTGGATATGTTACATTTAGGAAAACAACCCTTTTTGTAAAACATCATTTCACAATGTAACCTTTACTCTGGATCATCTAGAATACATTATTATTATATATTAACTAGAATACAGACACAGAAGAGATGCCACTAAAGAGAAGTGAGAAAGTTTCTTGTAATACGAGTGGACTGACTCCATAGCATGAATACCTGTCCTCCACTGACTGCTATTATCCTCATACTGATCAACATTTCAGAGAATTCCATCATCACAGTTCTTTGTGCAGTGGAAAACAGAATGCAGCTTTAGATGGAAAAATATCCCAATTCTCCCACATCCCCCTAAAGAAGAAGAAACTGAAGATTAAAGGATAGAAGTGGATTTTATAAAGCACATCTTAATACAATATGATCCCATCCCATGTGTAGAAAGATTTATCGGTCGCTGTATTCATTCTTCTCCATCTGGACCATGAAGCAATGTCTTCGTAGACTGACTTACTGTAAGAGATGGGGTCAGAATCCATACTCCTTGTTCTCTGCAAAATTGCATTCTAAAGTTCACCTGAAGCTAATATGAGACTTAATTTGTATGACTTCCACTAATCAACTGTAAAATCTGTTTCTCAAAATAATCACAGTACATACGCTACACGTGTGGTTAAGACTTTTTGTTTTATTTGGTGTTTTAAGGTGAAAACATGGAAAAACTCAGCAGACACAGTCCAGTCATTCTTCTCATTCTCTTCGTCTCATTTGTTATATAACCCTCTGCCATGACACAGTACAGTATACTCCATGAGTTCAATGCCAGTCCACGTAAAGGACGTCACTCATAAGCACTTGGATTCTGACAGTAAGCACTTTGTAACTCGTGTGGAGGTAAAGAATGAACTGAGAGATACAATCAAGCATATCTGAACAAGTGTGACACCATTCATTCACACTGACGGTGGAGTCCAGACCAAAGACAGCTGAGTGCCTCCACCACAGACACCAAGACCCAGGCAGAATACACACTCAAAGCTGGGACCCCATCTCTGTGGGTTAGCAAATGTGGCTTAGGAAGTAGACTCATCTATCACAGATCCTTCTGGGTGTATAAATCTGTACATTTGTTTCGCTCCACTCTGGCCCCTTTTCCACCAAATTAGTTCTGGTTCTGGAACCATTTGTTTCTTGAAACCTTGGTGCTATCTAGCGAACCACGTTTCCACCAGTTTTAAGTGGAACCATTGTAATTGGATGCGTCATCAACAGAGAGTGCTGCACAATGCACAACGACCTGTAGAATATGACATGCACCCTTTGGTTCCCAAGGACAAACCTGCTTTTTTTTTTGTTCCAGCATGGAATGGGGGGGGAGGGGGTTCTTCAAGTGGGGTTCTGAGTCTAAATCTAGGCACAATGTCCCATAGCAAATTCATCTGGCCATACCTCCAGAGGACTAATCCGGCTCCTCTTATTCAGTTTTCATAGGAAGCGGTTCTGAAATGGGACACAGCCTTGAAAAGAAAAGGGTGGTGTTATTCTATGTTCTTCTTACTGTCAGTAAACTCCACATAAAGACCAAAACCAACAATGGGTTAGTCTGTCTCTCAAAACTTTCGGGTTTCTACTGAAGACCAGTCAATTTAAAAAAAGATTAAGTAATTCTTAAAGCAGCTGGACACTTTTTATCAGACATTACTCAAACAGGAGGAAATACGTGTTCTATTTGTGTTCTAGTGTTCTTGTCAATATTTCTTTGATTGATGATGTTTTTACAAGAACAATGGAGCTTTATGACACAGAGGAATCAGGTTTTGGATACACACATAATACTTGCTAGGAGGATTAATTCATTGTTGGTTTGTATCTGTACAATGGATTTGTTGACCAATATTGACCAGTTGAAAATATATAGAATAATACCCACCTTATCGTTTAACAGGGTTGTTAGGCAGTGATAGCCACCATGGCTAAACAGCCAAAAGAGGGCGCCACCTGCAGAACCTTCAACTCAACAAACCATCCAGGGCTAAAGACATCACTCTACTGGCCACACAGTTAAGATGGCAAATCATTTCTGGCTTGGAGGTACAGTGCTAAAACAGCACAGCAATGAATGCTGAGCACCAAAGATGACAAAAATAGGAAATGGGAATCTTAAGGCCCAGTCACACCACCAAGTGGCACAGCAAAATGTACTGGATTTAGTGTTAATGGTGAAGTTGCAGATTGCAATTAACTGAATACAGCTTGCCTTCCAAGTGTATAGGAGAAACTCTGGTGGCCGGGAAACTATCTAGAGATAAATCACACCACAATAGCTCTACTGAGCTAGCTATTTAACTTGCTAACTCAGTTTAGCAAGCTAATTAGCATGGACGCTAAGGGGCAATAGTTTTACACAGTTTATTTCAACTTTTGTCTCATAGTTGTTTAAACTCCACGCCTCTTTTGTGGAGCAGTTTATACAATGCCAGAGGAGGTTAAATAACTGTACACTAAACACAACTAATGAGCAATGATAGCTTCCTGTTTGTTGAACTCTGGCTCTTTGTTCCTTCAAAGAACAGCACTGTCAAGACTACAGACTACGGGTTAAGCTGTAAAATTCACCAAATCAAACTTGGTGATCAAATTTACTACTAGAACTAGTCCATCAATTGTGTATATTCTACTGAAATCAATTGATTCTTCCACCAAATTTTGCTGTTTTAATGCTGGAGTGACCGGGCCTTTACAGCTGTGACCAAGTCTAATTATCCCAGATCAGACACTGTTTACTCGTTCTTACACATGGCAGATAGGACTGAAGGTGCAGGGTGTGTACTGTACTTTGTGGGTGTGTTTTGTCACTGAAGGTGACAACAGACAGTACAGTGTGTGGGGACAGCATTAAGGTTTTGGTGTCACTGGTTCCCTGGTTTCCCTTTAAGCTTGACAGCAGCAGAGGTTTTAGTACGGCTGGGTGGCTGAGGGGCGGAGGAAAGACAACCCGAACCTCATGGAACTAAGAAAGTAAAAGGCACTTCAAAAAATTGTAACAAATTCCAGAGTTACTAGATAGAATATATATAGATATATACTGTATGTATACACAGGCATTGTCATATACGAAGGAATGCAAAGACAGAGTATAAACACTTGACTTTAGATATATATATATAGATTTATATATACGTATATATATGCTGTATGTAATAATATAAACGTAACCTTTGTTGATCATAGCTGGCAATAATAGGAGCTTAAAAAAGCAGGGGATGGATGTGGTAAAGCGCATTGTGGGTTTTGGGGTTTGTTGAGGTTTCTGTGAGGGCAAAACTCGTGGCAATAGGTTTCAGTTGCTGTGCACAAACTGAAGAGTTGCATAGGCAAGAAAACAAGTGGTTCCTAGTCACTCAGTTTTGACCATTAAAAGTGGTACGTAAGAAAGAAACAATCAAATACAACATAAAAAGTAAAGTGAAGACAGTGTGTTCCTATCCAAAAGGATAGTACAGATTGCTTTAACTTCCTTGAAGCAAAAAAAGGCAGTTTTTTCCCCCTCGGTATTAAAGAAGCAAGAGTCAGTTCAAAGTCAGTAGCTTACTTGTGCAGGACATGATGGAATGGTAAGTGTGTAAATAAACTGCATGTGCAGTGCATGTGTACATGTATGTCCAGGAAGATGAGGGACGGCACAACTGCTGTGTGCTGGGCCTACAGTTCAGTGTCCTGGTACTGGTAGGAGTTGGCGGTGTAGTATCCTGGCACTGCCTCTTCCCCTGGACCCTCTTCGCTGGGGTAGAAGTGTCCTCCCTCCTTGGAGGACGGAGGAGTCCGGCGTTCAGGACAGGAACTGGAGCTGGAAGAACACAGAATATACAACTGAGTCCTGCACTTCCGGTCTAGCTTGTGCTTCACTAGCCTTGGCAACACTTTGTAGTTGCTGATCAACAATATGACTGTCTGTCCACCACTTTGGTCCAGAGAGAAATATCTCAACAACTACTGGATAGATTGCCATAAAATGGTGTGCTGACTCTGATCCTCTATTGGACTGGTATGAAATGTACAGATATTCGAGGTCCCCAGAGGATACATGGACATGGACTGGTGATCCCCCTGACTTTTCCATCATGCTGGTACATCACTCTGTGAATTCTAGTTAATTAGCAGGCCGTTACCATATAGTGCAAGCTCTACTGGAGGCAGTGCCACCTTCAACCTAATCCCCCAGTACGGGTTGGCATGGAGGACAGTTCCTGTGAGCAAATTTCTCTCCCTTTCTTTTTTCCAGTAGGCATGACATTAATGCTATAGACTAGTGTTTCTCCAACGTTTTACACTGCGTACCACCACAAAAAATATCAGGCTCTCCAATTCAAGTCCCACCATTATGAGCAATGTTAAAATACAGTAGGGTAAGCAGACCCTATTGAGCTACAGACAGCAGGTTTATTCCTAATAAGAAGATTATTTATTGTTAACTGTTGTTGGTTCTTAAAAGGAACCAGTGCAAGAACCAGAGCTGATTTGGTGGAAAAGAGGTTCTCCTGGTCCACACTTCTGTTCCGAATAGTTTCCGTTTGAAGCCACAATAGCATCTGCTTACTATCTTACAATCACATTTTAGCCCCTATCTAATCATGGATGTATCCGCACAATACATGAATGAATGTGACTACGTAGCAATATTGAAACTAAATATTACAGGAAATGTCAAACTTGTTATAAATTACATTTCAGCGATCTAATAGTTTAAGTATTTTCATTTGAAATGTTGTAGTATTTTGATTTGATTTTTTTTTTTTATATTTCAGAGATTCCTCCACATACCACTACAGGCAGCTCTTTGATAACCAGTGCTATAGACACTTGCCTTGTGTTTTGACCCATTTGATAGCAAAATCAAAATTGGATTTGTCTTCTTGGAATGTTATTAAATCTTCTGTCCTTTATGATAACATTGTACTCACCAAGTTACTTACTGAGATCTGTGAACACAGTGACATTGCTAAGCCAAGTATTAAGAACTCAAGCAGATGATCAGACCAAGCCGACAGTTGATCCAGATGATCTAAACCACTTTATTTGGAGGTCAAACTGAAAGTGAGTACACCTCACACATTACTAATAATCCCCCACTGCACAGGACACCAGCTATATGTCAACTATATTAAGTATAGTAGGTCAAAGTTGAAGCAGGAAGTGGGTCTGTACAGTGACCACAGTTTGGGTAAACATTTTGCTGACTTACTTTATCATCTGACTGCTCGTGTTTCCAACCCAATTAAGCTCAGTGATTGGACCGTTTCTGAGGAATGTTGCTGCATTCAGAGATATTAGTAACTTGATATGCACAATGTCACTACTAATACCAAC